AAAAGAGTGAGTCCGCTAGCAAGAGTCTATTTGAGATCGTGATGGGCCAACAGCCTCCGACTCCACATACGATGGTGCTTGGTGACAAGTACCAAGGAAGCTGACTCGAGTGCATATTCTTTGGCTAAAGAATGGCAAGAGCAGAGTAAACTTAACGCGAATGTATTTGAACAAGGTCGCTAAAAAGATGAAGAAGTGGGTCGACAAGAAACGAAGAGATGTCAACTTCCAACTAGGTGATAAGGTGATGGTGAAGTTGCTACCACAACGAATATAAGGCATTTCAAAAGGTGCACAAAGGCCTCATACGACGATATGAAGGACTATTTGAGGTAATGCACAAGGTAAGAAAGGTGTCTTATCGCCTAAAGTTGCCACCGAAGCCGAAAATCCATTCGGTATTTCATGTTAGTATGCTAAAGCTATACCATGCGGACGAGGAGGATCCAAGCCGAGGAGTTTCTCATATGGCGCCTATAGTAGTGGTTGATTCGTATGACAAAGAAGTTGATGTCATACTTGATAACCGTATCATCGGACATCGTGCAATGCCACCAAGGAAGGAGTACTATGTGAAATGAAAGGGATTACCCGAAAGCGAGGCTAGTTGGGAACCCGCGGAAGCCTTATGGCAATTTGCACGGAAGGTCGAAGAGTATAATAAAGGCACACCGAGAACGTCATCAAATTAGGTGAGGGAGAGTGTTACGCTTCGCTTAAAAGAGGGATTTTTTAAGAGACTTTAGAGAACACTAACACTAGGATGACCTAAAGGAATCTAGACATGTTATAGAGAATTCTGAAGGTCTATCACTATACTAACATATGAATATCTAGATAGTTCCTTATAAATATATAGATAGGATATTTCTAGAGAAATAATTATAGCCATTAGATTAAATAGATCCTAGTAATCCATTAAAGAGGTGAAAGGCTATAAATAGGTAAGGCCTTCACTTTGCCAAGACACCTAGACATCTAGAAATCTTAGAGAGTGTATCTTAGAGCTGTAAGCTTTAGAAAGCAATACAAAGAGTTCTTATATCTCTTATATGTGTTTTTCTTGTTTAACAACTTTGTGTGAGGAAGGTCGACTTGGTTTGTCTTAGAGAAGAAGAGAGCCGAGTGCACACGTGAACTTAGGAAAGGCTAAGTTCGTAACGACGAGGGAGAAGATACAAGAAAAGAGAAGAAAAGAATAGAGAAGAGAGAAGATAGGATTGTGCATGTGGCAAATTAATAATTAAAAAAAAAGAGAGAGAGAAAAGAAGGGAGAAAAAATTAGTTGAATAATAATTCATAATTTTCTGATTTTTTTTAATTTTTTCATGTTGATTATTATTTTTGACTCGTTATGTCACGTGACTTTTTTTGTCATTTTTATCGAAATTGATCAAAAAATAATCGAAAGGATCACATTAAAAAAATTTTAAAAATACATAAAATGATTGCATAAAAAAATATAAATACCATATTAAGAAAATCAAAAGAATAGAGAGATGTATAATCGATTAACCTAAAGGTTTATGGAGAGATTAACATAGTGTTTGTTTTCGGGGATTTAATAAGAAAGTGTGAGGTTGAAACCCTACTTTGTGTTTGGCAAATATTGTTGTATATGCTGAATTTGTATATAAAAATTAATTAAAATTAGTTAATTTTATTATGTACTAATTTTTTATTTTTTTTAAGTTTTGGCATGAATTCAAGTTAGAGAGCTTATAAATTGAATTTAAAATAAAACTCGTCCAAGTAAAAGACTTTGTGTTGGGTAATTATAAATACGAACATTCCGTCAAAATCAATGTTCATGTTTTGTCGTTAAAATACATTAAGAAGATTAGCTTAGTAGACTAAAAAGAAGGTCCAATTGTTATTTCTTTTGACTTTTATTATTATGTTAAAATAGTTTATCTCAAAAAAAAAAAAAAATCTAATCTTTTTAATTCAAATCTAACCATTCAAATATGGATCATGTAACTTGATTTTAGGGGTTAAGAATCATTTTTTTTCCACTCGTAACTACTAATCTCATATTATTATAAAAGGTCCAACTTTTTATTTTCTAACAAAAATTTGTAATTTTTTTTTCAAAATTTTCTCATTCACACATTAAATATCATAAAAAACTTTATTTTTTTGGATTTTGATCACTTGTATGCTTGCACTTAACTTGTGGCTTATGACCACTTCATGTTCCTCTTTTTATGTCTCTCGTTGCTTGTATGCATTCTACTTAATTGATTTATCATTATCTTTATAAATCACAACACTCGGTTCTTTGTATTTTGATTAGTTTGTTGATTAATCGTTTAATCAATTCTCAAGAACTTCTTCAAATACAATTATTAAGAAGAATGATAGGGAATGAGAGGGTTTGTAAAGGAATAGGAGGATTTTTTATAAACCTCCAAAATTCATTGACTGCCAGAATTTTTAGCATCCTAATTTAGGATATAAGAAAAAGAATGATTTAAGTTTTATAATTTTTTTACTTCATTTTTATTTTGTTAACCTTTTTTTTATCTAATATTAAATCTATCCTTTCTATTGAAAGGATAAATAACAATATACATGCCTTATATTTATTGTTAAATACATATTAATAATTTATAAAATCAAACTTTACCCTCCTTTTTCTAATTAAAAAAAAAAACGAGGTTCATAAACTTCCGTTCTCCTGATTTATATACAAATAACGAAATGATTCATATCTCGCCTTTACCTTTTCTTTCATACCTTACTTTTACTGGCCCTCTCCTTTCCTTTCCTCATTCAATCCAAACATGGCGTAAAGAGTTTGATGACGGTAAAGGTTCTTTATTTTTTATAAAGACAATCCTACGGTTTCAAGTTGGACAATTCATTGCTTGACCTTTGAATATTAAGATCTGTTAGTTTCTCAATTTAAAGTGAATCTACTTTTTCATTAATTTTGACTTTCAATAAGATTTTTATTAATTTTAATTTGAAAAAAATAAAAATTTTAAAAACATATATAAAAAAACGTGACAAAATCTTGTAAGAGTAAATTATAAATTAGTCTCTCTTGCTTTTACAAATAAATTAATTAGCCTTTTTAGTTTTAAAAATTAATTATTTTAACTAGAGTTGATTATGAATAATTTAATTTTTTTATTTTATAAAATATCTTTTTTCTTCATCAATTATGTCATATTTTTACTAATTTTTTTCCTTTCGACTTATCAAAATAATAAAAAAGATTAACTAATAATTTTTTAAAATTAGAATAATTTATTTATTTATTTCTTGAAGCGAGAGGGACTAATTTATAATCTACTCAAACTTGCAGCGATCTTTTTTATTTATTTGTGTTCTTTTATTTACACCGGTAAAAAAAATATTTTGAAAAGTTAAAAATAAACAAAATATCATGTGAGTCTTACGGGGATCTTTTTTTACAGCAAGCCGATGTATACCAGTCGTTAGTTGTTGGCGCCAGGAGAAAGGGGAAGCCGAACCTTATACCCGCTGAGACAAATGATTAATTTGACTACCATGGCAAAATAGAAGGCTAATGTGACACTTTTTACATGGTATGGTGGCTCTTCTGGTAGACAATGGGTCTCTACCCTATAATATTTTTCTTTTTCTTTTTCTTTTTTGGAATAATTATATTATAAATATACCAATTTTTTAAGTTTTTTAAATTAAATATATAAATTTATTTTTTATTTTTTTGTTTGAAGAATAGCAATTTTTAAAAAATAATCAATCAAGTATTTTTTTATCTAACTTCTATTAATTATTATGTTATCCAATACTTTTTTTCATATAACTAAATTATAATTTTACCATTTCATTGTTTGAGGGAGCTTTTCCTCCCAAATTATTTTGCTATTTTTTAATTTTTGTACAATAAATATCTAATTTTTTCTTATATATAAATAGTAAAAAATAACAAAATAATTTGAAAGAAAAACTTTTCTCTAATAATGAAAGGAAAAAAAATCATAATTCAATAGTCTGGGTGGGTTTGGAACAAAAGATACATCATCGTATAACAAAGCAATTGACAAAAAATAAACAGAAGTATTTTGTTGATATTTTTTAAATAATTTATGTACCCAAACAAAAAAAAATTAAAATTCATATACTTAATTGAAAAAATATTAAAAGTTGAAGTATTTGTAATACAATTATTACTTTCTTTCTTAGGACGTAAATTCGCTTGAGAATAACACGGTAGGCTCATTCAAATCTAAGATAATGGAAGTTCAACAGATGGTGATCGAAATCAAACAATGAGCAATTCCATAAGCAAAGATTAAACGAACCATACATGATCTTAATCTTGCAATCCACTACTGTAATCAGTCACACAATCCGAGTTAATTGTCACTAAAATACGAGCATAAGAGTGATCATTAGTTTTAAAACCGCTCCAGCTGAATCTCAGAGGCCATGATTCTTTGCTCATCAAAAATTGTGGAGCGTTAGTGGTTAAACCACTACAAATTTTCACGGAGCTTAGAAGACTCAAATGACACAAAACAGTGGCATCAACCGTCAAACAATCAAACCCTTGTGAGCCATCGCCAAAATTTGATCAATGTTGCTAAAATGCCATAACACCAAGCGATGTTGAGCTCATGATTTTGCCACCAACGGAAGGAGTTTTCTTTGTCACTGCTTGCCAGGATCATCCATCCAAGCAAGGAGCATAATATATATGTTCAAGAAGACCTGCCAGATTTTAAGTTTGGATGACATTAGAAACAATTTCAAACTAGTCTATTTAACATCAAGTGCTTGGACGACCCAGTTCCTAGTTCAATCCATCGTTGCGGTTGGGAGAATAACTCAATAAAGTTACATTGCAGCAGAACTTATAAAATTTTGGACTACACAAAAATGCCAAGTAAAACCAAGCTTCATATCAAATGGCAGTAAAACCAAACTTCATAGCGAATGGCATCCTTCCCATCAAGGAAGGGCAAAACAACTGAAGGTGAAAGCTGAGAACCTTGCTTCTATCTTCAGTATCGGTACCGGTCCCGGTCCCGGTCCCGCTCACGCTCCCTGTCCCGTCCATATTCTCTGTCTCGGCTAAACTCATAATCTCGATCTTTTCCACGATCCCTCTCCCTACTTCGACTACGGCGCCTGTCCCTACCATCACGTTCTCTGGTCTTGCTGCTTTCCCTATAATCTCGATCCCTCCCTCTTTCTCTGCTTCTCTCTCTCCCGTCCCTGTCAACAACACCTGGTAAAATATCCTTTTGTTAGCAGCACTAATAACTTAGTCCAAGCAAAATTGTAATACTCCAGCGTCCATCCAATTCTAATAGAGAGAACTCCGGTCCATGAATAATGTGTGCGAGCATATAAAGCAAAGTGCCTTACTTTAATACATATTTTTAAAATAAAAAACTAAGAGACAAAATGAAGCTCAGATACCTAATTCCTCAACCTCCCATCCTGCACGCCCAGCACCTGGAAGCACTCTTCCAGCTTCAGCTTGTTGAGTTTTGGCCCGAAATTTTTTCTTCAGATTGCCAAACTCATCATATAACTCTCCATCATCCTGTTATTGGACCGTAAAGACTATAAAAAAAGGATGAGTTTAATAATCTCAAAGTCAGAAAAGCACAATAAGATCTTACTTCTTCAGCTTCTTTTCGCCGTCGTTTAGTTTCCTCTAATTCTTCTTCATCAAGTTCTTTGTAACCACCACCTCGTCCTCCTCTGTGTGATCATAGATATGAACATTATTTAAGAATAATATCCACAAGATATCCAAGGCTGACCCAACAAATCATGTCAAAATTGTAACATATGTAGTCAAGGAGAGCAGCAGCAGTAAGAACTGAAGTTCTCACAAAGTGGCAAAGCAAATATGACTCAGTTGTTGCTTAGCCATCCAATTAGGATACAGTAAACCAAATTTGAGGTTTGAAATCATTTATCTGATTCTAAAGACAAAACTTGCGAGTATGACATTTGCTGCTCACAATACTTTGTTTAAAATTTAGAAAGTGATTAAGTGATGTTTTAAAATCAAAAACAGTCTTCTCTTATACTAATATAACACGATGCATGAGTCAGCATCACCATAACTTGACTGCAAAACACCTATTCAATCCCAAATACATTTTTCACATTTAGCAAGCATGCAAGAGTTCAGCGATACTTTCTTCCTATTTATATTTTTCTCATGATGTACTAGTTCAAATGTCTATAGCCAGTTCATAACCAAGGAACCCTTGTAAAAGGAAATCTGATGACAGAATAAGGAAAAAGTTTTTAGCACCACTATCTTCAGATTTCGACAAAGAAAGTTGACAATTTTCTACATCACACAAGCTATATGATGGATCAGTAGAATTCAAGTGAATGAAATGGGAGTAATCATATAATACCTCACACCACCCTCGTTGTGACCGGGTTTATTGGTATTGCAAATATTGCACTTCGTACGTTTTGCCCAGTTGATATTGCCACACCTGCAATAGAAAAACAAAAGCAGAGACATAAGTAACCCAAAGCAAAAGAGGCTGAATATTGCCTACGATATGAATTTGAAGGTCTCAACCAGCTGCCAACAAAGAATACCCAAATATCTTCTTCAAGCTATAATAGCACCACAAATGATTTTACAATGTACAAGTCAATGAGCACAATATTTACCGACTAATATTATTATGGATTCAGTGCATCACAGTAGCATCAACAACACACCCTTGACTGAATAGCAAAGAACTTCAGCACATGTACGCACATAGAAACGTGTTCCACAAAATCCAGCATTCAAACACAATCCTGCCATCAGCATAAACCCATTTGTCCCCAGGTCAATACTTGGTAGGCAAGGCCTGGCGCATGGGCCATTGCTGGGCCTGCCTGCACAGCCCAAGTGGGCTGGCCTCCCTCTCTTTTTTATTTTATTTTTTAAAAAAATTTTCATGTGACAGCCTGGTTGCATAAGCCAACCAGACGCCTGTCTTGGTTGGCTTGTACTAAGATAGAGCTGCACTCCATCGAACTTTATCAAATCAAGTATCACAGTCCATTATAAGTCTCCTTCCAGCTAGTGCTCATTCTCATCAATGTCAATTTTTGGATCTATCTCAAATAAAGAAACTTAAGAAAGGCATTATCCTTCTGCTTAGTTCAGACTAAGCCTTGCAATCTTCTCCCTCTGCTGGTCAGTACTTTAGAATGAATTATGAGATACACTAACATGACCGTCATCCATCACTTAATTTAATGGTTGAAGAAAATACAGAGGAAATGATACTAAGTTTGATCACAGAGTCAGAGACTACCAGCGTAGGTGGCACGGCACTTAAGAATCATTGAGCGGCACAATAAAGCAAACTAATTATGAATTCAGGCAACCAGAGGCTTACATTGGACAAGACCAGTCATTTGGACCAAAAAGTCCAGTGGGGGCACCAACTGACCGGCCAGGGCCCCCAGAGTCATTGGCACCACGGCCCCTCCCACGACCACCAGCTCCAGCAGCACCACCAGATGGACCAGAAGGTCGAGCACTTCCACAACGGTTGCACACACCACGAAATGCAAAATTTACATTGGAACAACTGCTGCAACAATAAAGCATAAGGAGCCATTTGCATAATAGATACAGAAAAGAAAAAAAAACAGACAAGCTAAAAAGGAGCAAGAAAGGGCTGCTCACCAATATCACATCACAGACCTTGTATTCGGACACAACCAGTCTCCCTCCTGTTGCCATGCTTTCCCCGAAGCGTCACCCCGTCCTCTACCTCTTCCTCCATCCTCATTCAAATCCTTAGCATTTTCCTCAAACCCGCCAAATTCATTTGTATCATCCACAGAGTTATACACCTGGTCATCTTTGCTCTTAGACTGTGCTATAAATACTCCAATGATATTACCATGAAAATCCTTGTTGTTGAACCACTCAACAGCAGCTAGAGCAGCATGAGGGTCCTCATATGTAACTGTAGCATCACCCTTCGGCTCATTTGTCATTTTGTCATGGTACAGCCATATCTTAGGTCGACCAGTTCGCTTGTCTTTCTATTCAGTACAAAAGGCCATGAAAATAAATAAAAGCAGAAAAAACTAGCTAACCCCTCAATATAAATAAGATTCTAAAATTAAAAACAAATTAGTACCTGGCAAAACTCCATACCTTTAACAATCCAATTGTGCCAAAATATTCAGCTAACATAGTGTCATCGGTCCCTTCAGGTAAATTACTAACATAGATAGTCCCATTAGAAGGGGCAGCTTTCCCTGCATAGCTTGCCATATTGCTCCAATCTCATCAAAATTAATATACACCAACAGATACCCCTACCAAAAAAACAAACAAACGAAATAAATTCCTCACCCAACACATACCCAAAAAATAAACTTAGGGTTAGGTTTCACTTTTATTCATAAAAAAGAAAAACTATAAATTATCAATTTATAGAAACAAATGTAATAGGATCCATATATCGTAATTCAATTAAGGCTAGTTTTCGATTTAAACAAAAGATTCAAGTAAGAAAATAAAAAATGGTACAGGACCAACAATAGAGAAAATAAAACCCTAATTAGGGTACCTCTAGAGAAGATGATTCGATAATCGAATAGGATTGAGCCGTTATCAATATCACGATCGATTGATTTAAAATTAGGGTTTCTTCTTCGTCGATTCACTTCCACAGTAATTTAGAAAAATAGCAAACAGCAAGTTAAACAAGAGAAGGGAAGCCCTGCTGAGAGCTATCTATCTGTTTCGAACTCTTTTTTACCAGTAAATTATAAACTAGTCCCTTTAGTTTTGAAAAATAAATTATTAGTTTTTATTTCAAAACATAAATATTTAGGTTTTATAATTTAAATTTTATTGTAACTTAATCTTTTTTCTTTTCTTTTTTCAATTTATTTTGATTTTTTAAAAAACATATGATTGAAAATATGAAAGGATTAATGATAAAAATAATTTTTTAATAAAATAAAATAATATTAAAAAAATATGATCAATACTGATTAAGAAATTAAATAATTATAATTAAAAATTAAAAAACTAATTAATTCGAGTTTCTAAATAGAGGGACTAATTTATAATTTATGCTCTTTTGACACTTTTTTTCTTTCCTTTCATTTGGATTTTATATGACGTGGGTGCTTCTCCAATGGTACCATGTTCTCTCAAAGTATTTTCTTCCGTAAAAGGTTGCAGGCCCAATAGTACAAAATGCCAACCCAACTTCTAGTCCTAGAAGCCCAAAATAGCATAGAGAACATTCTTTATGTGGCTGTCGTTCTGTCGCGGCAACAAATGAAAACGCAGATAGTGCATTTTACTTGCGCTGCTGCACTTTATTTTTTATTTTTTTTGAAAAGGGAAAATCACAATTTTATTGCTTAGCCTTGATTTTTATTTAGGCAGTAAATGTAATTAAAATCGAACCTTTCTCGGTATAATATTTATGCTAAAGCTATTTTTACCATTGGATTGTGCAAAATTAAAAAAAAAGAAGAAGAAGAAAATATTTCAGACATCTGCCAAGTTTGTATTTATTAAAATAAAAGCCTTAGCAGTGATGAAATCACAAAATGGCAAGTTGGCAATGATGAGAAAGAAATTTTACAACAAAAAAATTGTGGCATGGAGTAGCTTTCCAGGCTTCCACGTTTTATGCATGTGCATAATCTTTCAAACTATGTCTAAAATTAAAACATAGATTTTTCATACATTGCTCAAGTTTGAATTTATTAATCTTTAGTAAAAATAAAAGCTTGAGTAGTGATGAAATCACGAAATGGCTATTTGGCGACGACGAGAAAGAAATTTTACAACAGAAAATTTGTGGCATGAAGTAGCCTTCCAAGCTTCCACGTTTTATACGTGCGAATAATCTTTTAAATTTTATGTAAGGGAGGGAAGGAGGTTGTTGAGAACTGATTAAACCATTGGTCAATCAATCGGTCAAGATGTAGAGAGTTATTATCGTAATGTATAGAATCAATAATTAACTAACCAAATATATTGGATGCGAGATAGCAAGAGGTGAGGGATGAATAAAATGAATGCAACTGGTGAGAGGTGTGGGAGGAAAAGCAAGCAATGGTAACAAGACACAAGTCCAAATAACAAGCAGGTAGGAGGTTAAATCTAAATAAATGAAGCTTTACGTGAAGTATGGTATATGAGTGGAAGAGCTTTGAGATGAAGAGTTAAAGGTTTTTGTTAGAGATTAAAAAGATAAAATCTTCTCATAGTAACGTGATATCGGTATTTATAGTGAATTGAAGATGATCTTTAGTCGTTAGGATCGTGTCACGTCATTCATATTTAGACGAGTTATATTTTAGTTAAAGAAAGTTTGATTATTTTAGGTTGAACTACTTTAACTTGTTAGTAAAGACCAAAAAAAAAAGGTAACAATTGAATTTTTCTTTAGTGGGTTCTCGCTCCAAACCCATCAAGTTAATCTTCTCGATGTATCTCAAAAATAAAATACGAACACCGACCTCGCTAGAATACTCGTATTCATCCTTGCATGACACAAGGTCTTATGCTAGACAAGACCTATTCTTGGTCCAATCTATTTATTGTATAGCTTGAACTAATGTCAAAGCCGAGAAAAATAACTTGGATTAGTGCATAACCAAATCAACTAAACTATTAATTAATTTTTATGACCAAATTGAGTATATATATTTAGCCCCCTTTGCAAATAGTCTTGCCAGCAAGGGTGTTCGTACAATCATGTATGACGAGATAGAGAAAAATAAAATTAAAAAAAAAATAACATGACAATGATTATGGTAGACTTAAAACGAATCTATCATGTCATACCAAATAAATAGCAAAAAGTTTGGTAGGCTAATTGTGAGCCTTTTAATGCACAAAAAATAATAGTAAAGGTTTGTAGGCTTACTAAGAGCCCTCTTAAAAGTGAATTTTGATCTCGAGAATGGCTTTTGATGGATTTCCTAAATTAGCTTTCTAAATTGTTAAGATTTGCATCAAACGGACAACCATATTAAAAAGTTATGATCTAATAACCTATAGTGCACACGCATCTTTTTTTCTTAAGTACTAGCGAGTGCCCACTATAACCGGATAGACGAGTAGCCTCCAACTACCATGTTAGGAATCATGTCACTTGTTAGTCCACGTATAAAAAATTGACTAAGTATATTGAATTTTTTTTAGATTAGTCAAGATTTGACGAGAATGCAATCTTCAGTGAGGAGACACATCAATAGAAAATTTATATTTCACAATGGTAATGATTTTGTCAAGTAGAATTCTTAAGAATAACGTATATGTGGATTGATCTCAAAGTTATTAGGTGCCATTTTCATCATTTTTTTAGCATACATGGATGCCTATTTTGATATAAACAAAACAATATAGAGACACAGTTCTTAAGTGCCAATTGGCTTCTCCTCAAGTTTTTGATTCATCAATTATTGAGGATACAAAACTTTTCTTGAGCACTTAGTTGGTAATGATTAGATTAATTTTTATTTCTTGTACTAAGAATAAATTTTAGGCTTACGACTTGACCAACATACAACTTGACTAGATAGATATAGCTTTATATTAGAAAAAAATGAATAGAAAGCTTACTACCTTATCGATATGCAGTGGCTAGATGAACATGATGTTATTATAAAAAAAAATAAGCACAAAAATCTCATAGCTTGGCTAGCGTGTAAGTTGGCAAAATGGACACAATGTTTCCTTCAAAAGAAAAATTAAGCATAAAAAGTTCATGATCTACCCAACGTGTAGATTAGCTAGATAGATGTGACATTTTCATAAAAAATGAGTTTGAAAGGTTCACGATATGCCTAGTACCCAAAAGTTTTAGATAGATATGCTACTGCTATAAAAAAAAATTAAATATGAAAAGCTCATTGTCCAGCTAGCTTACATCTTGGCTAGATTGACATTACATTATCATCGAATGAAAAATTAAGCATGAAAAATTTAAGGCTTAGACGAGCATAATGTCATAGACTTGGCCTTTCCCAAGCTCATATGTGGCACTTGACTCTCTTCTTCTCAAAGACAAACCAAGTCAACCTTCCTTACACAAAGTTGCTTAAGCAAGAAAGACACACACAAGAGATATAAAAACTTTTTGTATTGCTTTCTAAAGCTTACGACTCGAAAGATACACTCTCTTAAATTTGTGGATGTCTAGGTGTCTTAACCAAGTGAAGGCCTCACCTATTTATAGCCTTCCACCTCCTTAATGGATGGTTAAGATCTATTTAATCTAATGACTATAATTATTTCTTTAGAAATATCCTATATAGATATTTACAATGAGCTATCTAAATATGTATATGTTAGATTAGTGAGGGACTCTCTATAATTCTCTAGAACATGTCTAGATTTCTCTAGATCATCCTAGAGACTTTTCCAATGCTTCATACTCTTCTAAAAGCTTCCGGACTTATCTAGAGGCTTCTTCATTGCTCAATAATCTTCAGAAGCTTCTAGACTTATCTAGAAGCTTCTCCATTACTTTATATTCTCCTAGAAGCTTCCGGACTTATCAAGTATTCTCCAGAGCCTCTAGTAAAATCCTTTTTTTAAGTAGAGCATAACAATAACATTATAAATAAATCATTATAAATCTCGTGATTCACGTGCAACACTTGGTTCATAGGTCTTTTACCAATACATAGATCTCTTAATACGAGTAAGTGGCATAAAATTAAAGAATGAATCATTATAAATGAGCATTCTAAGAATTAAACAATCATTCATTTTACTCTTTATATAGATCGGACACCATTCTCGTGATTCTTTATCATTTCTCCATTAAATACTAGGTAATTGAACATTCACTATATTATCTCTTAGATATGCGGACAATGATTATTATAATTGCTTATTTGGCTTCCTCGTCAAATCTCAAAAGATTGAAAAAATTGTAAAAGTTTAGAATCTTTAATAAAAACTATGCAATAGAGGCATCATTATCATAAATCTCTTTCATATAAAGTAGAATGTGACTAAGAGTAACTAGGTAGATTTTCATGTCAAACTCTTTTTCCCTTAACTCGGCGAGGTCATAGAAAATGATAGATAATTAACCATTATGACAATTTTAATGTTGTGACAGGAGGTTTTCTTACACTCTATCTTTATTATCAAAGACAATGCCCTTTTTGTTTAGCTTTTCATAAATAAAAAATCCTCAAGTTGTAATAATTTTTTATCGAACACCCTACGTATCTTTGGTATCGATGATACTTAAGATTAACCTTGTTTTATTGACATGAGAGTTT